TAATGGCTTCTATTTAAATAAGAACCAAGCTAGTTACTATTAGTTTTAAACTATATATAAATAGGTAACTAGGGCCTTATTATTATTATTTATGCAAATGCTATTATAATCTTTTTAGTTAAGTAAAGCTAGCTTATATTAAGATTACTAGTTGCTTTATTTATTATATATTATTATATTAATTTCTAGAACCCAAAATGGTTTTCTAGCCTTATCTTATTAGTAGAAGGGTTATAGGGCAGTATAGTTATGGAACTATTATCTCAAGGCTAGGGTGGCTTAATAGTAACCTTAAAAAAAGAGGGTTTTTATAGTTTCTATTATAGTTATCTCTTATACCCTCGGTAATCCTAGTTAGCTACTAGTTACCTAATAATAAAGTACTTTAGCCTTATAAAATATTTATATTATTATAATAATATTTCTCTTATATTCTAATTAGGTATTAAAGGGAAAACCTTACTTAATTAAGCTTGTAATACTTACTTATATATAATAGTACCTTATAAATAGTATATAATAGTAATATGTTTTATATGGCTCTACTTATTATTATAAGACTATTATTAAATAAGCGCAAATATCTTTATAGAGTACCTGACTGGGTTTTATACTATAGGGCCAAGTAATTAAATAGTTCATAAAAGTAATAAGGAAAAGCTCGGGGAAAGGCTTAATAAGGTAATAAAGTATAGTAAGAAAAGTTATAATTAGCAGGTTTTATAAGAGGTATATTTCAAGTACCTTATTATTATTACCTTGAATTTTGGGCTAATTTATAGTAGTATGGTTTAGATACTAAAATAATAGGTATAAAGACTAGAATAGAGGATTTATTTATAAGAAAAAAGGATAAGGATTAGACTTGGAAGGAAGTGCCTCAGATCTAAGAAATAGTACTATTACTTATATTTCTATATAGGAAATTATTTATATTTGAGAATAATTTTAAAAGTAAGAATAATCTTAAGGTTTATAATTATTCCCAAGAATATTCGCAAATCTACTTTATAAAGAATTCTAGGGTACTAGTTATATATAAGAATATATAATTAACTATATAAAATTATCTATAAATAAACTCGGATTAGTAACCTAATCCCAAGTTATATCTAGGTCTATATTTATAATACTAAAAATAAGGAATAAGAGATCCTATAAAAATTCTTTCGTGAATTTAATATTTATATTATTATTTATTTAATGTTTTATATAGGCTTGGCCTTCTTTCTTTTACGAATAGTATAATAGCTTAAATAAAACCTTTTTTTTCTTGCTATATTAATAAAGTCGGGGAAGTATTTCTTCCTTAAGTTTATCTAGAAATATTAATTATTAAAAGTTTATTAAGTAAGAAAAAAATACTTTTAGATAACTTATTATAAGTATTTACTTATACTAAAATAAGGTCAGAAGAAATCTTTTCTTTTCTGAACTTCTCTGCAAGATCTTCTTTTAAATTTAATAATAATATATTTATTTTAGTAAAAAGGCTAGTCTAAAACCTAGTACTTAGGTAAAGTATAAGAAGTTTATTAAGACCTTTATATTTATAAAATATGTATTTAATCTTATTGTTTTCGTATAAATAGTTATAATAGGCTTGAATTACTTTTTTAATAAGGCCTTTCAGAGTTTATTTTTTGAAAGTAATTGTTTTTCTATCTTGCTTTAAAGCCTTTTAAAAGAAAATAATAAGTTTATATAATATAATAATATTTTAAAAGTTCTTGAGCTTGGTTTTTAAATATAAATACTATTTTGCTAAAGTATTAAGAAATCCCCGGTAAAGTAAAGTTTTAATTCTAATAAGGCATTTGTCTAAATTATTAAGCTAAGCCTCTAATAATAATAGTAGCTATTTTTCTATTATACCGAGTATTATTACGGGGCTAAGAGCTATAATTGCAATTAAATATAAATAGAATAATTAAAGTATAATTAAATAGTTTTAGTATAGTTAAATAGTTTTAGTATATTTAAATAGTTTTAGTATAGCTAAATAGTTTTAGTATACTTAAATAGTTTAAGTATACTAAAAAAACTCTAAGTATAATAAGATATTTAAGTATAATAATCTGAGGTAAAGAAGTATTTTAATTTATTAAGTAGCCTAAGTATATTAATATTATATGCCTTTATAAATATACTACTATTATATTTAAGTTTAGTTTAATATTAATAGGTTTATTTGACTTCTTTTCTTAATATTTAAAAATGTCTAGTTTAGGAAGGTACTATAAGTATTATTATATATTTTAGTTAACTTATAATTACCTAAACTAGATATGGGTAAATAATATACTATGTATTTATTATCTAGTATATCTTTCTTCCTTTACTTTCCTTTCGTATTACTTACTTTATAGGTAAAAGGTCGGGATAACGAAAGACCTGGGTTATCTATTAGATAATCTATTAGTACTATAAAGCAGGAGTAAATGGCTGCTATATAAAATAATAATAGGTATAAAGTAGATAAAGCAAAGCCTATTAGCAAGGCTGGACTAGAGCTAGTTAAGTAGAATAATGCTATATAGAATAATAGCAGGTATAGAGCAGATGAAGTAAAGCCTATTAGTAAGGCTAAACTAGAGCCAGTTATATAGAAAACTTAGCTATTATTTTTATTCGAGAAAGATACTAATTACTAGAGTTATATAAAGCTAGAGATAAATAATTAACTTAAATATCAAATATATTTCTCTTCTCTAGAATCTTGCTAAAGAACTCCTTTTCTCTTTAGGTACTCCCGATTATATTATAATTTAGAAATAAAGTAGTAAATTAACTATTTTTAATTACTATTTTTTTCCTTAATTTATATATAGAGCTATATAGTGGGCTTTATGCCCGTGATTTGCTTAATAGTTACCGAGCCTAAAGTATTTGGGCTCTAAAGCCTGTAACCCGCCTGGCCTTATCTTAACCTATCTCTAGTAAATAGTTACTTATAAAAAATACTACTACTAATACTATAACTATAATGTCCATTTTCCTGGTCTTTATTACTAAAGGAATTCACTGCTTTTCAGGTATTATACTAGTCGAGGGGTTATATTATATAATACCCGTATATAATAATCTTCTTATATATATACTTGGGTTTAGTATTTGTATTCTTATATATAATGCCATAAATAATATTAAATTCTAGAGCGTTTTTCCTTAGTACCTTAATATTTTAGTGCCTTAATACCTTAGTACCTTAGTACCTTATAAATCCGTTACTATTTATTATACCTTATTATTTAATAATTTACTAAAGCTAATATAATAGATGTTGCCATATTTATAGCTAAGCTAGAGAGCTATAATTATTTATCCCGAGTATAAATCTTTATTTTCTTCTTTTCTAATATTTCTGCTACGAGAAAGTAATATAATAAGCTTACTACCGAGCTACTCGGAGATCTTATTTCCGTAATATTAATCTAAGGCGGGACTAGTTATACTATATAGAGATACCAGGTTTATAAGGTAGTCTAGTTTCGAGCCTTAATACTTAATATAGTATATCTTAGACTTATTAAATAAGTCTATAATAAGTTTATATTATACTATTTATATTATAATCTCTTAAGATCCCTTTATATTTATATTTGGGATTAGATATCCGGGCTAGCTTTCTATCGGGTATAGCAAGAGATATTTACCTTAAACGCGAAATAGTGTCTTAATTAAACCATTTAAGATTTTGCTAGGTTAATTAATATATATTAGATATTTCCTATTATTTTTTTACTATATACCTGCTAGCTTAATTCCTAATAGTATTATAAGGTTCTTTGCTTTAGTATGAATTAATAGACTAATTATAGAGGTATTACCTGGCTTATAAGCCAAATATAAAGCTATTCTTAATATGCTCTTTCTTAAGTTACTAAATAGCCTATACCTAATAATTAATAAAGTCAGGGAAAACCTCTCTCTCCTTTTTCGTCCCGACTTCCTTATAGTACTTTAATATAATAACTTTTTAGAGAATAACTTCCATATTAAAAAAGTAACTAGTTATATTACTAGTATTATAGATTAGGCCAATATTAAAGTCGCTCCTTATAGTATCTCACTTAGTGAATTAAAAATTATTCTAGGTATTTAAATAAATACGGATTAGTATTTTTACTTTTCTTATATTCGTTTATAGTAATAGTTCTGGAATACGTTTTATAGTGAAATTAGGGAAGTTTCTGATTTAGATAAATATTTAATAGAGGTAGCTAGGCTAATAAGCTTACTTCAGACATATAATATTAAGTAAAAGAATACTAAGTTAAGAATATATCTTAAGAGACTTATTTTATTATAGATTACTATTTATATTACTATCTTACTTTGGCCTTTATAACTATAATTAATTATTCTCTATAATAGCCTAACCTTATTAGTTTACTAGAACCCTCTCAATTTTTATATATGTTTTATATTAAAATATCTAAAGGTAAATCAAGCTTCGAAAATAGTAAATATACTAGATAAAATCAGAGCTAATATATTTCTTTAACTAGCTAATAGTTCTCTATTTCTCTCAAATAAAGAGCTATAGAGAGGATATTAATACTACTATCGGAAACCTGGATTTCTAATACCTAAGTAAATAGTAAGAGAAAAAATGAAGACCTTTATATATACTACAAAACACATCCCCATCCGGCATTCTAACCTAATTACTATCCTGAAATGCCTTAATTCCCTATCTATCTTTTATCCGAGTAAAATATACCTATCTTAGCCAGACTCTCTAAGACTCCCTCCTTAGTCTTGGCATTGCCAACGTAGACCTTATAAGTCTTTATACTGTCTGGCTTAGTAGCTTCATTCTAATGCTCACTAGGACCCGGTCTATCGGGATAAGCTGTCGGATTAACAGGGTTAGGCCAGCTGACCGGCACGAGCCTTTTAATCTTCTACATGGATTGTGGAAGCGTGATAGTCCCCAGGCCTCCAACCTCAATCTCGGCGGTAGGAATAGTAGCAAGGTCGTCGCGCACAACGAATTAGAGCGCGAGGACGTCGGCCAAGCCACGCTTAATAATGTAATTGGCTAGCACCATTATATAGTCTAAGACTTTTATGTCGTCTTTAGCGACGGGCGACGGTCCCTTGGCAAATTCGTATGGGATAAGACAGAGAGTTTCATTCTCGCCGCCCTTAAGCTCGATCTTAAAAGCCAGGCCATGGAGGCTAGCGGGGTCGAGCTCAGTAGCGGGGACAGGACGCATTCACTTGCCGGGGGCAGTTTCGAGCTTGTTCTCGAGCTTGACCTCGCCTGGCTTTAGGGGTTCGTGGCTATGGAGCAGATAGATAGCCAGCTTGCCGACCATATTGTGGTCGACGATCATGCGAACTAGGGCCTTGCGGTCCTCATCGGGCACCTTTAGGTCAGCATCAATGCGAGGGAGGCTCGTGGCACTAGTCCCAAGATTTTAGCACAGGCATCTGAGCTAGAGTTATACTCGGCGGAGGGCAGAGACTTACGTGGTGAAAGACAGGTATATATCCACCTGGTTTAGCGGGCAATGGACACTAGGCACGATATCCATGGTCATAACGCTTAAAGTGGCCATTGTATCGAGTGGTTAGGACGTTAATAATACAGGTTACAGTGCGATCAGGAGAGGTTCAAAACCATTGGGGTTGACCCCACCATATTTATAAAAGCCTTCGCTCTTTCATGAGGCTATAGGGTTAAGCCATCCCTTAATTAGTTTTCTGGGGCTTCCTTTTCTTATCAACGCAACTCGCTTTACAGCGTTCTTCAACGAATCGCGGCCCGAGCCGGTTCACTAGCTCGCCCCATGGGATAATCAGTTTCGCCATGATAATAGCGGGGTTAATGCCCCGCTCGAGGTGGTGGTGGGTGGGTGCTTGCACGCGCAGACCCCCCTAAAAAAGACGTGATCCGTGCACTGGCATCGAAAATAATAGCTTGCCTAGGGAACGGCGGTTGATCAACGCCCTTTTCTGCAGATTTTGACGAATCGCAGCATACTGAGCTCTCAGGCGTTAGAGATTCGGTAGGGACCAACTACAAAATCATCGTGATTTGCGTTATTTATAGGATGAACCATGAACCGTGAACCATCAACTGCAATCACATGACCCATTCTGTGCAGAATCTGCCGGCTATTGCCGAGACAAACCATGCCTCTCAGTCGGAGAAAAGGGTGACTTTTGGTGTTCTCGCGTGCTAATTTCGGCCGCCCTTTTCTCCTACTGAGAGCATGCCCTCTCAGTCTAGCTATCAGAATTCAGAAGCAGAGTCATCGAGCCGGCCCGCGGTTCAGAGGACATAATTTTACGAATAACCAGGATCAGAACTCTCCAGGGCTCACACCGAACGTCAAACCAGGATCCGTTTTGGCTCCCATCCAGCCTATTAGAAGCAAACTTTATTTGGGCTTGGGTGGCTAAAATTAGCTGCTCACCATAACTTCATGACTTTACTCATCCGACAGAAGGGGCCCAAATAGGCTCCATATGCTAAATATAGCTCTATCGTCGTCACCATCGCCCTGGCTAAATCTCTTGTCACAGGATCGACTCCTCCACTGAAGTTATTCTAATAGATATTGATTCGAAGAACAGTGAAGTCCTGTAGATTTTGCGATGCGGAATAAAGAAAAAATATTATAATCTCAGCCTTACGCCACAAACGTTGCGAGCCACCTGCTCGGGATGCGGATATGCAACAATTGATTAGATTTCTCACGTGACAATTAATCCATGAAGCGGATTGAAATTTGTAGGAAATAGATACAATATCTTGAGAATATATGCTCTACCTAATGCTACCGGACGACCTCACTCGACGTTAGCCTGCATTCGCGAGTCATGTTCAGACAACAGGAGAGACAGAGGCCTCTAGCTCTCCATTGATGTCCAGTCAACTCCGTTGCCATTCAACTGGCTGGCTGACCTCGAGAACCTTCGAGAGTCGCAAGAGTCTCGGCGTTCAAAGACAATTGGAACCACAGTCAACCAGACCACCATACGGCGTCGGTGTTATGCGGGCCGGACAGGAGCCAGTCTTGGAAGTTCATCAAATGAAGTCTTCTTTTTCACTTTTTCAAGAATACAGACAAAGCGATAATAGACATCATTTCAAAATTGCATTCTTATCTATTACTGTAATTAACTGTCTAAATAATATTTGCGTCGAAGCAGTAATTTCAAAAAGATGTACGAGCTTGATGTCGCCAGGTACGGAAAGTGGCCCAGCTCCAATTTTGGCTGCCTATCAAAAATGGCTTATTAAGGGTCAGAAATAGGCCGGACAAGTTCTTTAAAAGGCCAGATCTCTTTAGTAGCCACGACCTCAATCCGCTAATTCATACCGTGCTAGTCGTTATACCTTTTCCATGTTAAGGCGACGTTGGCCTCGGTTCCTACCGCGGCCGTCCTCATATAGCTAAGCTTACTAGTAATCTCCGAGAAGTCAAGCCATAGCTTAGAATCAGGTCCTTGGATGGCTCTATTAGAGCGGCCGACTTCTGGGGTATACCGCAATTGCCCCGATATGACCCTAAGAAAGTCCCCTGGCTATATGGGGATGACTAGGTACGGGCCCATGACTATCTTTGAGGCAGGAGTCCTATTAAGCTTTCGCTTTCTATTTAGTGAACCTTTGTAAGGTACGAGGCAGATATAAATAGTATTATTGCGCTTGGATAGACCATTAATGCCGTCTCGAAATACGTCTGCAGTATTTTGTAATGACTGCTTTTCCGGCCGTAATATGTTATCGAAGCTCGCTAGGTATGACTGCTCTTCCTCGTTATTTAGTGCTTGCGTTCCATTTATCTAGTTAACCGAGAAACCTTTTAATGCCTTCTTAATAATCTTCTGGTGTAAATTAGTATTACCGGACAAGTCGTTAGCCCGCTTAGCGAGTACTCTCATTTATACTTCCTTTATATAGGGGTAGTATACTTGATTCCATTTCCTGACTATTTGGAGCGAGTCCTTGGTTTTGTTAAAGAAACGTCTATTAAAGCCTCCTGTCCGGAAGAAGAGGATATATACTAAACTATTTCTTAGCATGCGAGCTTTGGCGTCTTCTATCTTAGTACTACCGCCTTCTACCCGTATGTTATGAAGGAACTTCCAAAAACGATGGTATTTCCGGTAATTCTCCGGGCTTCTTCCTTTCGAGATAATATTAATAAGCTCCTTAATAGCCTCGGCCTCTGCCTGACTAGCGTTAGCGGGTGACCCAGGATTATCTCTAGATTACGCTCGAGTATTGGCCTCTGCTAACTTTATAACGTAGTTATATTAAAAAGTCTCCTTCTATAGGTTAACTGCCTGGAGACTTTCGAGACCTGCTTGTTCCTTCTTTAATTCCCGTTTGATCCTGTCCCGCCTAATAGTATTAAAATAGGTTATTACGTCTATAGGAGACTTCATAATTATGCCCATACCCTTGAGTATTTTTGTGACTAAATAATCTCTATTCTGGAAGTCGGCCGTCTTCTCATGATACTTTACGTATGTCTACAGAATACCTGACATGATTAGTATAGTATCCCCTTCTAGGTATAGCTCTTTTACCTCTTTAGAAACCGTTATATGGTTCGTTTGCGAGGATGCGAAGGGTAATCTTATTATAGAATCATGCGAAGAATGGTAATGACCTAAGGTTGCCAGTACTAGCTAATCTGGTATACTAAGTGAATTCTGCTGAGACTCATGGGTATGCCCACTAGCCTTTGGGCTAAACGTGCTATCGGTAGGGTCGGCTGTACTCACTGGGTGTGTGCAGGCGGCAGGGAGGCAGGCTTGATCGAAGCCTTCACGCTATGTATTTGCCTCGGGCAATGAACCTACGATGAAGAAGCTTGATGGTCCTGTTACAGGTTCTGATGGAGCGGCAAGCTCATTAGCAGAGACAGCAGGACAAGCTCTTTCATAAGTTGGGGAGGTCTCCGGAGCTGGTGACGCATGCTGTGGGTTCTCCTCCATCGTACAGACTGGGCTCCTAGCTGGCAGATGGCTGTCAATAATAGCCATGCTATTATTCAGCTGTGGGGCATGCTCTTCGGGTATAGCAGACTCGGGGGTTGAGGGAACTCCTTCTGAGGCCTGCACCGTCGGTTTCTCGATCAGGAACCCCCTTGCCGGTGACAGCATGCAGCGCTCATTGCATCAAACGCCCTCGGATTTGACAATGGACCATGGCTGATGCGTGCGGGCAGCGACTGACAGCATCTAGGAAGAAGTGGCGTAATCCTCAAACTTGGACGAAAGCCCGTTTCCCTGCAGCGCACCCATTAAAGCTCACGTATCGTCGTTCTGCGATCACCAAGTCTTGCGAGCTTTTGAATCTTGTTTCGATTCCATGAGGAAGTGGATGTTGTCGAATAGGTCCACAGGCTTCCTTCTTGACCAGACTTCCTAGCTTCCCATTCCATCTGTACGGAGGTATCACTTATGGATGATGAAGTGGGCTGTATCGTCGTTAATATATTATATATGGTGCGTAATCTGCCTTGAGTTGAGCCCAAGTCCTTGGAAGACGGCCAGGGCACCTTGTGATAGCGGAGTCGAACCCTCGACCGAGGCTTTGGCGTCCTTCCAGTGTAGATTGCACGAAAAGGCACGCCGCTAGGGCATAGTACGTGTGAGCGTATGCTGTCGCAGTATGTATTCTGGAAGGATTCAAGTCGCTTAGCGAGAGCTGACGACGGTTTTAGTTGATAAGATATTGCTTGAACTAGACTCTTAATTTTTCGCCCTGCTTTGGAATCGTGATTAGTAAGATAAATATAACCACCTAAACGTGCTATAAGCTCATATGATTTCTCATCCCTTGCTTATATCTTCGCAAATCCTCAAGCTGGCGCTTCTTCCTATTCCATATCATCTTATCCTAACTTTATAATATTTTAAACTTCATTTGCGAGACGGCCAACTCGTAGAGGATAGTAGGACCTTATAATTAGTGGATGATGAGATGCTCGATTAACAGAGATGCGAAGCTGATATGGCAAGTACTAGTATAGATGAAGTAATATGTGGTAGAGAGTCAATAATAAAGAGCATGGAAAACCTAAGTTGGCAATATTAGAGGAGAGAAGCATGTTTGGTGGGCAGCGTCTCACCTTAGCGCCGGAGCGAGGTGCCGTTGTCACGTGTAGCAATTTTTGATCAGAATCGGACCGACGAGTTTGGCTCTGCTATCCCCCCCCCCATAAATACTTACCCACCGTACTGTAATGCATCACGTGGCTATATAAGTAGGGCAAATCAGGAACGGTGGAAGGCGCCAGCCTTATAACTAACCGCGCAGAATATCAGGCTACTTCGACAAAAAAGCAGGACCTTTTTGGGGAGGACTGTCGCGTATTGTCCACCAAGGCTACTTCTCGAGTCTTTCTCTGTTCCAAAAATCATGACTAGCACTGCCAGTGGTTCGGGCAAGATCAATATCGATATCAGCTTATCATTTACTTATGAGAATAAGCCTCTTCAAGCAAATCAATACCGACTTCTCAAACTTCTTGAAACCAGCACCGAGGACGAAATATATGTTTCACTTTCAATCTGCTCTTTGGATTTTGAGCAACGAGACTCTTCTTACTATGCTCTTTCCTATACCTGGGGGCATCCTTATAACGAAAAGGAGGACCAATCCAAATCAACATCTAACGGAAACCCACCAACTATTATTTATGGCGAAACGCGAGTAGAGATTAGGAGGAACTTATTTAAAGCCTTATTACAACTCACAGCAAAACGATATTTTATATATCTCTAGATCAATGCAATTTATATCGATCAGACAGATAAAGTTAAAAGGACCCAACAAATTAGATTAATGGCTGAGATCTACTCGAAGGCTAAGGAGGTTTTCATCTGGCTAGGTCAAGGAGATGACGAATCTGAACTGGCAATCGCTCTACTCAATAAGTATGGGGTACTCCGCTTGTATTCTCTTGGGCAGGACTAACACATACCCTTCAATGACCGAAAGTTCTTGGCGAGCCACAACTTAGACCCCCTGACTGAAAGCCAATAGAGGTCTATTCTTATATTCTACTGCCGGAGATAGTTCCGGAGAGTATGGACGTTGCAAGAAGCGTCGTTAGCATATAATAAGCGAATATTCTGTGGGTCCGAGGAGTTCGATCTTGATCTAGCAATGCTCTTTGCCGCATTTATCATGAGTATCGGATGGGTGTAAGACCTATATATCCTTGGGCAAGATCTGCCATATAGAAGAGATAATGGGTTTGCGGAAGCAGCTTCACTCTTGGAATAGATAGGAAGCAACTGGCAGGGGAAAGAACTCGGTTTGCTCCTATCAGATTCGATCTCGTCAAGACAATATCGCGAACCAACTCCAGAAGATATATGGCTCGCGACAGTCAATCGCCTCATACGTTATACACGCATGCGAGGAGCTGCGAAGCCAGAAGATAAGATTCTGGCCCCTCTTACACTCGCATCGAAGTTCATGTGGGATGTCATGCCCACCATGAAGGTGGAGCTAACGAGGCTGATAGAGTGCCAGTTGAACTCGCAGTAGTTATATACTAAATTCACCACCTTCATAATTAACTCATCATTTAATTTGGCTATATTATCACAGGCGAATAGAGATCTTCTGAATACTAAGCTTCCTTCTTGGGTTCCCGATTATAACACTAAAGACAAGGGAAGCTTGCTTAACCATAGAAGTTTCAATGCAACCAGGTTCCTTTGCAAGGAGGGTGCACCGTATAATCGAGGTAAGATAACAGCTCCTATATCCTACTCCGAGGTGGAGCTGAAGTGACCCTGTAGCACAAGTTTTCGTTGCCTCGGGATTACTCCGCGTCAAAGGAATCATATTTTGTCAAATTAATAAAATTGCAATTAATTAGACAGAGTTTTGCGTGATCAATTCTTGGTATCGGATTGTTCAAAAGCTACCATGGCCTTATCCAAGCCGTCAAACAGAAGTTCTCTGGCGAGCACTCATCGCAGATTACTACAACCTCCGCGATCCTGCCACTTATGAAGCCCAGGACTCCTTTCGCCAATTCATCGCATACTCTATGGCCATGAAGTTTATTTATGGCGAAAGGAAACTAAACATGGGCTACAATAAAGTGTGGCAATGTCATACGTGGTACGATAAGCTTTTTAAGAATAAGGGTATCCTGCCAGCTCAAAATGCGATAGATACTACAAAGCAGAGAATTGACAAATTATTACAAATTAGCCCAGAATCTGTAGCAGTTCTGAGTGGAGCTCGACCTGCCTTACCTACGCAAATAATAACCGAGAATACAGATATACTTCGATACAATTATCACACTCAGTTCAACCGAGTAGCAAATCATCTCTTTATCTCTAGTAGCGGTTATATTGGGCTGGTACCAGACCAGGCAAAGCCATCTAATTCCATCTGCTTTATCCAAGGCGCAAGGGCGCCATTTGTCGTGCGGCAAGGGTTAAGGTATCGGTACTAGTTAATCGGCGAGTGTTACTTGCATGGGTTGATGAAAGGCGAACTTTCTGAGTTCGGGCTATATCCAGAGGATATCCTCCTAGAGTAACGCAAATCAAATATATTATATGTTAATGGAGGAACCCTATCTCGGTCACCTTTTCCGGAGCACTATATAGAGAGCATGCAATTACAAATTAAAATATAGCCCCAATTAGTCTTAATATCAACTTTCCAAATTTGCTACGGGGGAAGTTATTACACCTTACATTTCCTGAAATGAATTCTGACCTCCTTGAGCCCCTAAATAAGCTATTTCCGGTTTATATCCTCTCTGCTCTGTCTTACCGTTAGTAAGGTTAGTAGTAATTAGCGAGCTTGAAGGAATATGTTAAAAATTGATACAAATAGGGCAAGTGAATAAAATTTGTATTATCTCGGATATAATACTAAGCTGTGCTAGTTATGCGATCAGAGAGGCTTTTCCAAGAAGCCCCTCCTCGCATAGTCAATTAATTAGTAAAGTGCAAACTATTTCTCTAAAGGAGCCGCACGAATAAGCGGCTTAAAAGGCATAATTTTCCGAATAACCAAGACTAGAACCCTCTAGGATTTATAGGAACTAGCCTCTATATTTTTATTAATACCTTCCCATTTTAAGCACACATTTGCCATACCGCCGGAGTAAATAACCTGTATCTGGTTTAGGATTCCCGTGACTTATAAATAGTCTAACCAAAGATTTAGTATAGGTCCCTTAAAGGCTTGCGCAATATTATAGTACTCCGAGAATCAAATCTTACCAGAGAAAATACCTAATAAGTTACCTGGGAATACGGGAATAATAAGAAAGACATTAACCAGCTTATTAGCGCCAGGTTAAAGTAATATAAAGAATAATTTATTTGTTCCCGATTCTATATAAGCATCTTCTATAAGCCGTTTCGGATTACTCTCGGTTAAGGTAGCTATATAACTACTTATAAGCTTATATAATACTTCTTCTTTATTAGAGTATTACGTATTAGATCTATTATCCCAAGCTAATTCTAGTATACTTAATATCTTAGTAATAGATATAATATAATAGGTCTAGCCTACCTAAGAAGTTACCTTTAGCCTACTCGAGCGCTCGGAGTTTAATTTATCTAATATAGCCAGAATATACTTTTTTCCAGGACATAATAATATTTATTAGTTCTCTTAGAAAGTACTTCCTTCTAGGGAAAAACTTATAATACTTATTAAATTTAGTATTTTAATAAAATAGGATAGTTACTATATTAGTATTCTTTATATTATATAAATCCTTTTACTATAGTTAGTATCTTTACTAGTTTTTATTACAAGTTCTAATACTAACTAGAGTAATAAATTCAGCTACTATAGCCTTCTCCTATAATATATATTCGCTAGTAGGTTCTTTACTAGCTATAAGTAATAATAAGTTAATAGTCTTAGTATATCTCTTAATAATATCCTAATAAAAGGCTTCCTCCCACGCTTTTTAAAGGCTAATATCTATATAACCTGCTCTTGACTTTATAATTTTTTTAATTATAATTTTAAAAGATTTTATTATAAGGTTTTATTTCATATATCTTTGGATTTTGGCCATATTTATTATAGTTTCTATATTTATATTTTAGAGGCCAAACCTACTAACCTAAATATATATCTTTATTACCTTTAGTAATATAAATATTATAATATCTACTATATTTTTAGATTATAATATTTCTAATATACTTCCTTCTAAAAAGTAAGTTATTTGAGAAATTAAACCTGGAATATTTAAGGCATTCATAATATTAAGTATTAATATAATAGGACTCTTGTCTTCTAGTACTACGCGGCCCTCTATAGCCATATCTAGTAATTATAAGAGAGATCTTTATACTAAAATTTCGACTAGTTATTAAGACTTGTCTATAAAAATAACCAAGCCTAAGCCCTTAATTAAGAAAATAATTAATAGCGACTTATATCTCGAGTTCTCTAACTATACTTTAAATAATCTTTATTTATGCTTCCGTTTATTTAGTCTATCTATTCCGGCATAACTTATAATATTATTAGATTTATTAGGATTTATTTACTATAATGAAATTCGAAACCATATTAAAAAAGGAAAAGGAAATAAAAACAAAAAAGTTAGTAGAGAGATTAAAGTAAAGAAAAAAGAAAATAATAACAAATAATAAGATATTAGAGGTAATAATACGAGAGATTATAATAATAAAGAAATAATAGATTTCATAATAGTATTATTAATATCTTTACTACTATTATTATTATTATTAATACTTAGTAGGTAATTAGTAAAGTTACTAGGGCAGCCTAGTTTAATTTAATATAAATAGGCTAGATATAGTTAATTCGAACCTAATTACCCATAAATACTACTTACTAAGTTTAAAAAACATAACTATTTCCTGCTATAATATAGTATTATTAGTATTAGTAATACTATTCTCTATAAGTATAGCGCGAAACATGCTTTACGTCTACTTCATAAATCGCGCGGCCTATAAAGCCGCATTATCTATTATAGAGGCCATATTATAAGAGATAGGAAGAAAAGTAATAGTAATATTAAGAGAAGTAATAATAATAGTAATAGAATTAAAAGGCAACATATTACTTATAAAGATCTTCTAGAACCTTCTATATACTTTAGTAGGAATACGAATAGTAAGTAATTAAAACTCTATAACAAGTTTAGAGTTTTTTACTAAGAGAAGAACTTCATTTCATAAAAGCCTTAATTATTTTATAGAAATAGATTATATAGTACTTAGTTATTTCTTAAATATCTAAAGTTCCCTATATCTATTCTAATACTACCTATTCCTAACTGCCCTATTTCATATTTCCGTATAAACGGAATAAGGTAAGATAATACACAAGAGAATTAAATTAATACTTATGTGTACTAATTACCTTTAGTAAAGATAATATTCTAAAGTACTCAAGATATAGCTATAATATTAAATAAATTAAACCGGATAAAAGAGATAGGAATTAAGGTAGCTTGGTTTATAAAGAGGCATTAGGCTATATAAAGAGAGGCTTTATATAAAGGACCTTAGTAATAAAGTTAACTTATAGAAAATATAAGAGTAGCTAAGGTTAATAGCTAGCTATTCTTTCTTTACTAAGGGCTAATAAAGATATATAATAGATTAGTTTAGTAATCGTACTAACTAATATATATAGTGAATCCGTTTTAGTAGTCCTAGTAATACTAATAATAATATATATGGATCTATTTAGTAATTACGCTAATAGGGTAATTCCCGTCTTTATTCTATTCTTCCGTGAAACGTTTTCCTGCAAATCTTTAAACCTTTATAAAAGTAATGTTATAAAGTACTCGGGAAAAGAAGTTATTACTAGAGTTACTAATATATAATCTTTATTAGATTAAAGAAATAGATCCCGCTAGTAAAGTAAATTTTTTATTCTAGTTAGTACATTTTCAGGGTTTTTATAACCGCTCACCTGTAAGAAAGTCTTATTTTCTCTTGTCTTTTACTCTCTGAATTTGAATATTATTAGGGAATTCCCAAAGAATTCTAAATATAGAATCGCGAGATAGTTTAATCTCTCCTTACTAAAAAAGGCTTCATAATTCTATTACAAGAATTAAGAAATGCCTCCAAGAATAAAGGCAATATTAATTAGAAGAGCTATAACCTAGTAATATTTATAAGCCTTTTCTAATTAGTTTAAACGGGAAAAGCATATCTTAAAGCCAAATTTCGTCTATCTATAAGGTTTATAAGAAGATCCGCTAGAAGAATTTTCTCCGAAATATTATAATATATAATAAAAATCAGAAATTAAAAACATTTCCATATAAAATTCTATAGATATTACGTTTAGTATCTGGGTTCCGGACTCTCTTTCTAATTATTTATACACGGAATTCTTTATTTAACTACTAGGTATAGAATATTATTATATATTATATTTTCAGATCAGATAATTAATTAGGTGAGATTATATAATAAAGGCTATTTTTTATTATATGTTATAGAAAAAAAAAACGGCAATACTATTAGACTACCTCGTCTAGGGTAATTAAGCCACCCCTATTCCTCCTATATAAATAATGCCCTGCTTTATATAGGGATTAGGATTAAGATCCGTGATTCTTTAGGTATTAATAATTCTATCTAATAGGTTATACCTCTTTATGCGCCCGCCGTTTTCTATAACATGTAATAAATATTACCTTTATTCTCCCTAATATTACTAATAATCCAAAGTCTTTTAGTTAGTTATTATTTATTATGCTATGTACTAGTACTAGTTATAAGTGAAATATAGCTTATAAATACAAGTTAAACTACCCTTAATTATAGCGCCTGTATATTAATAAGTATATTATTAATAGCTATAGAACTCTTGCCTTATAATAGCAAAAATAATATAAATTAAGTAATATAATAATAGAGCCCGCGAACTTATACCTTTAAATATTTATTATTAGTATCTATAAAGTTAAGCTCAAAATACTAATTTTCTGCCTTATAGCTATTATCTAATTAGTTTATAAAAGTAATCTAAAAGCAAAATAGGGGATTCTAATTTTAAATCGTACTAAATATATTATTTATTATTAGCATGCCTGCCTTACCTTATGCCTTATATAATCTACTTTATTAAAATAAAGAATTATATTAATATTAAAAGCCATACTTATAGAGAAATATTATAAAGTATCTTAGGCATTTAGTATAATATTTCCTTTATACTATAGAACTATTAATTAAGAACCAAGTACTATATAACTCATAATTTTTATATCTAGATTAGGAAATCTTTATCTTTTACTAAGTCCTATTATTAATAGCTCCAAATATAGCCTGGCTAGCTAGGTATACTATGTGGCAGACTATTAGATCCGCGGGAAGTACTTGCAGGAGCTAGAGACCCTCTATAGCGGGAATATCTAGTAAAATAAAGCCCAAATAAAAGATATATTTTAATATCTCTTATTTTCGTTTCAAATTTTACTAATACTTAGAAAAAATTAGTTATATACTCGAGATAGCCTTCCTAACTATTAATAATCCCTTAACTCCTTAACTTATTATTATATTAACTATAGAATTCAAAATAGTATAATAAACTCGCCGGAACTTCTTCCTAGCCTCTAGAAACTAGAGCTCAAACTTACTTCTAATAATATTAAGTTAGGAGTTCAAGATAGGAGTCCTTAAGATCTTTTACTAGTAGAGGAAGTAATCTTCTACTCGTAATTATTAAAAATATAAAAAGAATTAATAATTATTTAAATAACTATAGATTAGGAAAATAAAATTCTAAGCATGCCCTTAGGCATATGGCTTTTCCTTATTACAGAACATATTCTAATAAATATTAAATTAATACTTATATTACTATAGCCCCTAACTCTTACTTAACTAAGCTCGCTAGTATAATTAGATATAACGGATAGTAGGGTATTTGCATGGCACTTTAAACCAAATAGGAAGCAGGTCTTTATATAGATAACTAGCTACTTATATATCAGGTCTACTTATAGGTATTATTATGGTTTGAGCGGAAGGAGACGCCGTTTGCTATTACTATCGCTTGGGCGGCGAGAGAAGGCACTAATATCTAAAATCAAATGCCTTAATTTGAGTCTAGATAGAGAATTCATTACGTTATTTATAGTACTATTCAAGAATGGCTCTTTTAATAATATTGAGAATATTAAAGCTCTAGTAATATTAGCGAGGATAGTTTTAATAATATAGCTTAGGGCTATTAATAAAAGATAAAAGCCAGTTATTAAGGATCTAGTCCCTTATAAACTAGAGCATATTAAATATCTCGGACTCGCAGGAGATAATTCCCTGGCTATAAACTTCAAAGGGCAAAGATAGAATAAAGAAGAGAGAAACCACGAGGATATAGAATAGGCAGAGGAAACTTCTATTTCGGGAGAAGGTTTTTCTTTAGTTCTCTGTACAGGTTTCATTTAATCCAGAGCTAGGCTCGGAAATTCTACTCATATATGGCCATAATACATGTAATTAATAATAACCTGATGTGAGAGACATATTTTATTGCATGTCGCAATGCTGCCCGAATGCTTGGGCTAGTATGACCTCGAGTGAGCGCCTTGCGGTATATGATATAGAAGAATATTATTAGGCAGAGCCAAGTTTTTGTTATATATCGCAAAGGGCAAAAAGGGGCGTGCAGCCGTTTTACGCCTTAGTAAGGCGAAAAGTGGAGCCCAGAAGGCACAGACTACTAAAGTAGAGCAAAATCAAATCAAATAAGAAGCCCAAAAAAAGCTCGAACCAGGGTATCAGAATTAGAGCAGTTCCAATACTGGAGGTAGCTGAAAGTAGGAGATTATCACGTGAGAGCTTCGGAACGATTTCGGCCGCAAGCCTCTTTTGCCTTTTGCGATATATAGCAAAACAAGTCCCTTATTAAACCTTCCCGGGTTCGCTAAAACCGTTCTCATGGTTGAGTTATTACTGTACCAAGAAATAAGCACCGTACGGTTAAATCTACCATACGATACAGATTAATTGCGGGGTGTAGATATTTCCCAGGATATACTAATATGTGGCTCTCGGTAGTAACAAGTATACGTCTTCTGCCAAGTTATACTTAAGGCAGATAATATCTGTATTTAAAGTAATATACAAGTTACTAGTTATTATTAGTGACCTATTACTCATTATTAATTCTAATTAACTTTCCATTACCCCCGTATTCATAGCACTTAACCCCACTAATCTATCCCCTAGCACCCGTTATGTCTCTAGTCTAAAGGTTCTCAATTCTCGCCATGGGATTATCTCGTCCCTTCCGGCCTTTATAGAGCAGAGATTTGGTGCCTCGTTTTAAGAAGCTAGCCGGTATATATCTCTCTGCCCTAAGATAACTCTAATCCTACAAATTTTTAGATTATAGCCCTTAAATTAAAAGAACGCCACTTATGACTTCTATTAAGCTAAGCGGCCAGGAAGGTCTATCTCTAGATCTATCTCTAGATATATAATTAAAGAGTTTTCCGTTCCTCCGTCCCAAAACATAAATGTCATAGCCAAACTCGCTCCTTAACTCGTCTGCCTTTTCCATAAAGGTGATTTTCCTTCTCCGAAAATTGTCTATTACGCCTTTTGTCGAGCGCCGTTAAGATCGCGGCTTCTCTATGCTTTAAAGAGACTTAGAATATTCCTCCCGGAGTATTATGGGCTATTTGATGCAATGGTTCTCGAGCTCCCTTCGTGGCGTCCTCCGATTAGCTAATAAAGAATATTTCCACAACTCGCGTATATTTTACCTTTTCTCGATATATTATATTAAAGCCGTAGTGTTTTGCCTTTGAGTTCATCTTCTCAATTTCGGTTAGCATTTAATTATAGGAAATAAGAACGATGTCTCACTAGATAATACGATATCACAGCTAATATCTATAGTTATAGACTAAAGATGACTAAATCTTGCCATTTTTTAGAGCAGAGCTAATTGCGAAAGGACAATTCCGATTCTGCGGACGAAATCAAAAGCTAACAGAGATCCGCAGATAGTTGGAAGCTTGTACATTCGAAGGGAGGTGGATCTTTAATGGATATAGTAGAAGGCGAATTGGGTGTCGCTAATCTTTTTTTAAGCGGGCTCCACTTCCTGACTCTTGTGGCTGTGCGCCCTTGCCTGGTTGTACCCAAGGTACCAGAAAGTTGCATCGGACCTAGCCTGATTATATAATACTTAGGCATGTGACCTATTCTAATAATACCTATAACTTGCGGTTAAACTTCGGCCTGTTGCCTAGCTAAATCTTGCCTCGAATAATTTACATCCCATTGCTTTTTGTTAACAATATAGTTTTATTTTATTCTATAGTATTTAGCAATTTTATTATAATGGGTCAATCAGAGTCCAGCCTATCAGAGTCTAGCCTCTATACACCTCTTAACAAAAGTCGCCAAGAGATAAGGCTACTTATGATCCTTCCTTCTGGAGATACAGTGGCTTGCCTTATGAAAACTGTATCCCTTTACGATGCTCCCTCTTTTGTAGCGCTCTCTTACCTGTGGGGGGATCCTTCGAACAGAAAGGAGATTGAGGTTAATGGCCAGACCATCTCAGTTACAACCAACCTAGTTGCAGCATTAGAACACGTCGGCGCTGTTTTGGGGATTTCTCCGGCCCAACATAACAGTCCTGCCGAACTCTGGGTTGACGCCATTTGCATTAATCAATCTGACGTGGATGAGCGGAACTACCAGGTGGCACTTATGCGGTCTATATTCTCTTCTGCGGCGTGCGTGTTTGGTTGGCTTGGCTCCGGCGATGATGAAATGACCCTTGCTATCGAAAGTTTGAATCTTATCGGAGAAGCATTGTATAATCTGGGTCCTGCAGCCGAGGAAAGCGCCCGGCTTGAGTGGATAAAGAACTTCCCAGAGCTCTGTGCAAACGATCTTGGGAAAGAGAACGATAATTATGTCACCGGGAACAGGAGATGGTCTGCAATCGCCAAACTTCTTATTTCGTCTTACTGGGAGCGTGTATGGATCCTTCAAGAGTGCGTCATGGCCAAGCGATTTCTCCTCATGTACTCCTTCCGGGTAATTACTATTCAAGCGCTCATTGATATTTCGACCTGGATTCTCTCTTTGGAGACTGATGGAAGAAAATTGATCTATTCATATGGGCAGCATCTCGGTTTAGCAGCATTCAGCTTCCTTCAGGCAGGAACGCAGCGTTTTGGCCCAATACTGAGAATTTATCGGATCCAAAATGCGATCAACGACGACCAAAATGCGAATAATACTTTATGGGATTTGACAGTTTATACTCACGAGCTCGTCGCAACTAGGCCAGAGGATTATATTTATGGATTACTGGGAATGATGAGAATCCAAATCATTCCAGATTACACAAAGCCACTTCCAGATATATACAGCGAGTTCGTGGCAGAATGGCTGAAATATTGCCAAAGCCCCGCACAGGCCGGCCAGTATAATGAACTTCGTTTTATGAGATTTGCGGGCGTGGGACTATATAGTGGCTGTCTCGGGCTGCCGTCCTGGGCACCAAACTACCCTGAAGTACCAGCGAAAGGATCTCTGCCTCGATTGTCTGTCGGTCCGGATAAATGGGAGCCCTACGCTGACTATAACGTATTCACGGAATCTATCGGAACGAGTTCGGTGTCGGGGCAGACTCTGTATGCCTGGGGTCTGAGGGCTCAGGAAGTAGTCAAAACTTTTCAACTTCCCACTGGTGAAGATATGGAACGGTTCCATTCCTTTCTCGCCGATTACTGTCAGCGCCACCCTTGCTACATCACCGGTCTATCCCCATTGAGGGCGGTTATTCAAGTTCTATGTTGTGAAAGAAGTTCCAAGCATGAAATCCTGTCTATGCTCCGAATTATTGATATGCTGCTTTTTTTTTTTTTCACTGGCGAAAAATTCTCTCCATTGCTTTTTCAACTCGCTGGGCTAGGCAAAATGCCCGAGATACATACACGAGATATTATCCAGAAATTATATCCTGAGTGCGACGAAGATGTAATACAAGAAGCGCTTTTATTACAACAAAGAGGTCCGCATCCGGATTTAATGAATTATGTTCGGCATTCTACTTATATTGTAGAAAACTGGGCAATTGTTGAGACCTCTTGTGGATATTTGGGCATGGCGCCAAAAGGTACCCTTAAAGGCGACTTTGTCTGTATTCTTAAAGGCAGTAATTATCCTATGATATTAAGGAAAAGTGGAGGCTTTTATATCCATGTCGGGACCAGCTATATCGAAGGATTTATGGAAGGTGAAGCAATAGACTTGGTAAAGTCAAATAAATCCCAGGTTGAATTATTTAAAATTAAATAAAAAATAAAAATAAACTTTTTTGTTGCACATTGGTATTGCAGAGGTTACTATGCACCGGAAGTAGCAGAGTGTAAAGACAGGTCGTCCTTACTCTTGATTTCGATCACGTGACTTATTTGCCAACACCTCTGCTCAGACTAGACTTAAGGAGAGAGAGAAGGGGAGGGGGGGTCAACGTGGTTTGTTCTTGGGGGAGGTCACCGCCAAATTCTGCCTTTTTAAGGTACCTCCCTGTACAAGTCACACAAGCCATAGAATTACCCCGCAGTCCCTTAAAAAAGTTATGTATAAAAAGTAGCGACACTCAATTCGCCCTTTACTGTACTAGGGCCGTGGTACATGGAAAACAGCGGGTATCAATGAAAATCTGAGTAGAATGCCCTGAAACGAAGTGAAAGGGTTTACATTTCGCCCCGGCAGGAGGTTCGCTGACGGCCTTTGGTGGCCAATTGCCGCGACCACTGCAAGGGCGTTGCCAAGCCTCGTAGGAAAAGTCTCCTGCGACCCAACGTGGAAAGCCGACTCCTCGGATGCCTTGGTGCCGGTGGTGAGGTCACCAAGCCCGAAAGAGAAACGATTCCCCTAGCCGGGATCCCTTTTCGGCCTCTATACCGGGATTCTGTGCTGGCTCCCATCCAGCCTATTGGAAGCCAGCACCAGAGGAGGCGATGGTGATGACGATAGTGCTATATTTAGTAGATGGTGCCCATTTGAGCCCTCGCTGAGTTCCTTGTCACAGCATCGACTCCTCCACTAAAGTTATTCCAACACCAAGTCATCTTACTTCTACTTTTCTTCTCGCAAGGCAGTCGCTATTGGCTGGAAGAGTTTGTGTTGCATATCGCTAAAGTGATTAATCATATCAGGACCCAAAGCGTGCTGTATTACAAGCAAGTTAACTACTACACTGGCGCGGCCCACACGCGCAGCGCTTTCCATCCGCAAAACTTGCAATGTATTATAGTAAATAAAAGATATTAATTAGAAGAGTAAAGTATTAGTGAGTCCATATAGATTTTATAATATGCTATAAAAAATTGAAAGTCGTAATCTCAGCCTTATAGTATATCGAAGCCACGTCCAAGCCACACCAGTTTCATACCACCGGGGATCTAACGTTTCTATAATATATAATAAAATTTATCTTTATTTTCTCACGTGATAATGCATTGAGTAATGCTTCAAATTTGTTACCGACGGACCCCAATAACGGCCTTATACGCTTTGGCGTAATCTTCAAGAACTCCCAAAATAGAACAGCCAACTCTATTGCCATTTAATTGGCTGACCTCGAGAACCTTCTCGATCACAAGAGTCTCGGCATTCAAAGACAATCTAATTAGAACTACCAGTCAATAATAACCGAATAACTAAGCTGAAACTCGTCATTTCCAGACTCTCAAGCCCAGTTATCGGGAATAGGCATTTAACTCAAAAGCTTGCAATACATCTATCAGGTAACTTCGCAGCCTCTTCCGAGCCTTAATATTATCTTTACTATAGTTTACTGAGATTCGAGCAGTACCTAGCACGCCTTTATTATATATTACCCGCCTATAGCTCCATCCCCCTCTCCTTAATAACGCTTTGCGACTACCTCGACCCTCCTCATACCTCTCTCCAACTGCCTTGCCTTTTACAACCGCCCGCATCATACCTACTATAACCTGACCATGTCCTAGCGTGGTAACGAGCCAGGTCACTAAGAAGAGAGGATCATGGAAGCAGCAATGTGGGAAGATGCGATTACCCGCCTGTAATTATAATAAATAATTAGCCATCTCCAGAAGCTAGATAAGCTGCCAGAGATACCACGCGAGAATCTTGCCGTTCCTAAGGGAGACCAAACGCGCCGCCTGAGCATCTCGCGAGAGAAAGAGATTACGAGTAACCTTATATTTCTATTAGCCACAACGGATAAAAGCCTGAAAATCATGGCTATCTATATTAAAGAATACTATAATAGAGAAGAAATCACGATTCGGATAGTATTAAATAACGGGAACCTCTTGGCGGTTATATAAGAGTTCATAATCCTTGCGAAAATCTTGGAGCAAGCTATGCGGCGAGGTTAATCTCCTAACCAAGTTCCGAAATATAACTAACTAATTTACCTTTTAGAGAATTCGAAAGCCAAGGATATTAAGACTCTTTTTTAATAGGTCATTATCCTAGACTTATACTAGATCCTATTATAACTATAATTACGGTATAGAAAAACCTGGAAGACTACTAGAAAACTAGCCCTTATTACTTAACTATATAAGGTAATTAATAATAAGTTTATTAAGGCTAGGTTAGGGTTAATAAAGAGTAATTTAAAGGCTAGTAGAAATAAAGCACGAGCTCTATATGCCTTTTTTACTAAGCTAGAAAGCATATCGGACCTTTACGTAAAAATAGATAAAGCACACGAGGTAATTAGAGAAATTATTAAATAGGCCCACGAATTCCCCCTAATTACTCTTAGTATAGCTCTTTAGAGCTTAATACTAGAACTAATCTTAAAGTAATACCTACTAGAAGTAATTAGTAAGCTAGCCCGCTATTACTTTACTACCTTTAAGCTTATTTATACTATAAAAAACAAGACATACCACGTGTTTTAAAATATTTAGGTAAAGCCCTTTTAGATTTAGATACTTGCCTCTTTCCAGAAATTACCCTAGAAAGTTTACGCTAAGATATAGCTTCTTTTCTTTTATAAGCTTTATTTATATTATTAGTGGCCGAGATTTATTTACTCTAGTAAGAGTACTTATTACTTATATAATCTTTTCTTCTTTCTCTATAGTAGCTTTTATGTCCCTTAAATATATAGCAGGCTCTATAATAAATAAACTTTTCTAAACTAGTTAGATATTCTAGTAAAGTATTATAAAGAGCTAAGTTATATTATAACTTAGTTAAAAGCAATCCTAGATATTAAGGTCTAAAGGGCTTTAAAATTAAAGAAAAAATAATATTACTTTCTAAATAAGAGTATTATACTATTACTTATATACTAGTCTTTATTATCCTATTTATTAATCCCGGCTTTAATATTTATAGTTTGGCTATAAGCTTCTCTTATTTAAGAAAGAGATCCGAGTATTTTATTATATACTAAGATATCTTTAACTTTACCAAGAATATTCCCAGAGCTACCTTATGCTAGTAATAGTAATATAGAGGCAAGAGTAGCTCTAGATAAGGCCGCGCTTACTAAAAATACTATAGGTTATATATTAACTTTAAATAATATATCTCTAATTATAATTAGATATAAGTAGCTTCCCTATAACTAATTAATTATACTAATAATACTATTACTATATTTATAGCTTAATAAGCTATTTCTAATCTTAGATTTTCTTCGGGTATATTTAGGTTATCTATTAATTACTTTAGTAAAAAACGCAATTATATTATATAAGAGATATTATATTATTAATATTAAAGATATTCCTATAATTACTAAACTTTAATTAAGTTATTTATAGAACTTAAATAAGCTTATATTTTAGTTATAAACTACTTAAAAGGAAATTATTTATATCTTATTTATATGAGACGAAGTTTAAATAATAAGAAATTTAAGAAATCCCTTATAACTAAAGAAGTTTATATTAGGGCTTAATAATAAAATTATAATTCTTAGCCTTATTTCTAATAAGTACTACTATTTCTAAGTTAATACTACTTTATTCCTATTACTTACTAAATAGTTAAGTTAGTAATATTTTTTAAATATATAAAGAACTAATAGTATAATATAAATAATATAATTATGACTTTATATTCTAGTTAGCGCGAAGTTATAATTTGGCACGAATTTATATTCTATTATAAGTAAGAAAATAGTAGATATCTAACTATACTATTCTTATCTATTTTATATTTCTCTATAAATAGTTAGGGTAATAATAAGAAATGAGATTATAAGGCTTATTATTAATTAATAAAAGCAGATATCTAGATAATAGGCCTACTATACTTATAAATAACTAAAGCCACGTTAATACTATTGAATTTCCCTTAATAATTGGCTTTCTTAACTAAGGTATTCTTTTTTTTATTTTATTTTCTTATTCTTTTATTTCTTTCTTATTTTATTATTATTTCCTTTAGTTTTTTAGCCTCTATTTATATAGAACTTTCTTTAAAAGTCGTGAAGGTTTTCTTTAGGCTATTACTTAATATACTTTAAGCCTTAGGCCTAATATATTTAAGAGTTATCTTATTATTTAGGGCCGTATTTTATAAAGAACTTTCTATTATTAATAGTTGTCTTAATAACTCTCTTATATCTCTAGTTCGTCTAAGAGATCTACTTTTTCTTTTAAAATTAAGTAAAGAAGCTATATTAGATAGCTATAATTAATATTAATCTCTCAAATAAATAGTTTAAGAGATTACTATATAAAGATAAAGCGTGCTATATACTAGGAAGGCGGCGCTAGAGAAACCAGGTATAGGGGCCAAATTTAAATCTCTAATTCGTAAAATCTTAGCTAAAGGATTTAATAGTATAATAAATGACCTGAATTAGTTCCCCTTTAAATAGTATAAGAGCCAAACTTAATTCCGCGGCTCTCTAGATCTTAGCTAAAGGAATTTAATTATATAATAAGAGCCTAAACTAGTTCTCTTAAATATATATAATAGGTAGCCAGATTTAAACCCATAATTCTAAGAATAGGCTTAGTGTGATTTAGCTCTTTATAGTATTACTTTACTTAGCTTTTTTTTTTATAATATACTATAGGGTTCCTTATTTCTAGAAATAATAAATAATAATATAGACCTTAAATAATATAAGTAACTAGATAATAAGATAATATGAGATAAATAATATAGTATAAATCTAATTATAACCTTACTTATTTCCGTTTACTTTATTTACGTATTTCTAACTTTTTTCAAAGTATAATAAACTTATTCTATTCTATTTATATCTATAGCATAAATCCAATTACTATAAAGACTAAAGTTTGAGACTATAAAGGCTTTAAGATAAT